GTTTTCGATTGCACTACGCAAACACATCTACCGGCACGTTCGCAAAGCGTGCACGCGGATGTGTAATCGCGTTAGCTGCTTGTATTTAGGGCATGTAATTAGGACCCCATTACAATGAAACGTTCGGCATTCAGGGACCTTTGATCTCGGTTAGATAATCATTCCCTGTAATGATTCATTATTAACGCATCACCTGTCACTGGTAATTCATATCCTATGATTTCTGAGGCTGCCATTTAGTAATCCTTCAATAGTTATTGCTTGGTAGATATGGAATTTCATGGAAATTATTGTAAATGTGAACCAGGAAGTTTTGAAATTGGAAATTTGAAATTTAGATTTTGAAATTTAGGATTTGAAATTTGAGGTTTGAGGTTTGAGGTTTGAGGTTTGAGGTTTGAGGTTTGAGGTTTGAGGTTTGAGATTTAAAATTTCAGGTTTAAGATTTCAGATTTCAGATTTCAGATTTCAGATTTCAGATTTCAGATTTCAGATTTCAGATTTCAGATTTCAGATTTCAAATTTCAGATTTGTAATTTGGAATCTGGAATTTGGAATTTGAAACTTGAAATTTGAAATTCCTTCAAGATTTTCTCCGAGCTAATTCCATTTGCATTGAAATCGGTGGAGAAATTCCGCCGTCGAACGCGAAACGCTCCTTTCCGCCTGTTTACACGTTGTTTCGATGTGTAGAGTCGCGTCGTCCAAAAGACAGCAGAAATGTCAGCTTTAATGGCACTGGCAAACGTTACCGTCCTCTTTATCGTATTACAGTGTTAAGCCAAGGGACGAGCGCGCTCGCAAAGTATAATGATCGACGTTAACGAACCAAAAACGCGTTCAAATATTTCAAAGCGACAGAGGTTCAATGTTACACGACAAACGGCGTCGTAAATAACCTTTTCCTATATGCTAGTAACAATGTTCGCGAGCCCGTTACTCGGAATCTTGTAATTAACTGATAGCATTTCTTTTATGAAAATCAGTTTCCAGTGTCTTTTTCACAAAAAGCTTTCGTTTAATAGGTATCTTCAGAGGAATCCAGAGAAGTTGCCATAGATACTTATTCCATTTATAACCACCAAACAATAATAATAATCTACCTTGCTTACACACAATCTCGGATACTATAAAAGGAAATACAGATGTCTGTGGGCATACAAATTCTCATAATCCACTATATAGACATTAAAATCGAAGAAAAGCTCATTTATTCAAATACTGGTTTCATTGTGTCCTTCTAAGAAAAGAAAAATGTCACATTAAACTGTATTGAATATTCAACTATACCAATTTTTAAGATTGCTTAAGTACTATAAGTGTTATAAACTGTCTTTCAAGGAAACGGGAATGAAAGTGTAGTATTGTAGTTCCCACGGCATTTAACTGTAATACACATATTTGTCATTTTTCCACAACCAACGATACAGTTTCTTTTGAATTATCTTCCAGATAATTATCTCTTATTTCTTTATTTATTGTATTTACAATATTATATTGAGTATACTTGAACTCGCCGAAAATGAAACGTTGGCATTTCGCAGATCGACCGACCGATGCGCGAGTTAAATAATTCAACGGGCAATTTCGGTGAACGTATCCCCGTAGGTCGATACGGACGTGTAACTTATACACCTCTGAATAATGATAAAACACCTACGAAGATACTTGGCACTGTCAATTTATCTCATAAGTATACTGCTAGTATAAAGACACTACACGTGACTATGACTACCTTAAATTTTCTCGAGTTAACCCTGATAATGCCATCAGTCTATCCATCAATGCGAAATACTATTGTAAATAATATATACATATATACTACTATATTATTATACTATATAATATATACATATATATTATTATATTATTATATTATTATATTATATAATATATATGTTAAGGGCAATGCGTTTAACGTGGGCATTTTGTTAAATGATCGGGCATTGTGTAGAACGCTCAACTTTTTGGGCAATGTATATAATGGACAGGTATTTCACAAATAGCTTGGACATTTTATATAATGCTCACGGTTAGGCTTGGTTAGGTCTTGGTTACAATGCAGAGCTACCGGTCAGCTCTGTAATTCCAAGTGTCACAGTTCTGTGTCTTGCTTCAATAAATGATCCTTATGATTAAGTATGATTATAATGACTGTATGTTCATTTTGACCATATTAAATATATATCAAATTTCAAGTTTAAAACTCAAATTTCAAGCTTCAAATTTCAAACTTCAAACTTTAAACATTGAATTTCAAATTTCAACTTTGAAATTATTACAATGAACTCATCGAAACAAAACAACAAAGCCTCATCCTACATAACACAAATATCGTAAAATCAATGATAGTCATTCGTCGAATCCGATGATCCAAATTCCAAATCCTTTTTGAAATTAATATAAACAGTGAACCTATCGCACTAATACAAACCGACAGTTGCATTGACCGAAAACGAGGTGGTGAAGAAAGAATGCCAGTTCCGTCGACCTGGAAATTCATTTGCAGAAAATGACAAGTGGGAGTGACACGAATGGAAACGTCCTCCTCGTCGCTAATCTGAACTTTGCCGATATTCCAGGACTGCTTCGCCTAGAGAAGTTCGCGATGAAAAGATTTCCATTAGGTTCACTCCCTCCATCCGGTACCGTTTTCAATGATATCTCCGAACGAATCGGTCCTGCAAAATCTAGAGATCATGATGCGTCTGGATTATTCGAAATCCGTGCTATTTAAGCTGTACATTCTACTCTAGCTAGGAAGTTGCGATTTGACGAATTCCTAACGATTTGGTTCACATTATCATAACATCATTAATACTATTAATATTTTTCAAATAATAAGCACAAATTCAACAATCTAATTCACAATAACTTTCAAACTTATATATACTACATTCCACATAAACCGTTCTTTTACTAAAACATCAAACGAACCATACAACAAATAACACTACTAAATACCTGTAACAATATAACTAAATATAAAGAACAATATATCAAACACTTAAATTTCGAATACTCTACCTCTACATTGCTACATTTGCCAGGAACCGCTATAGCATCGTTCTACTACATATTAACCCCTTGCACTTAAAAGATTGTACACTCCATACATTCAACGTTTTCTAATGAAATGCTAATGAAGTGTTTAACTGTATTAAACAGAAATAATATACGAATGAAAGGATAGGACTATATCATTTTAATGCTTCATGTCCAATTGCATTACAAAAAATTCGATATTGAATATATAATTTTACCAATTTTCTATATCAAATTAAATGGAGACTGTGAGTCGCCTCCCGAGTGGAAAGGATTGAATACCCGTGAAATAAAGAGTTCCAGTGAATTTTCGAAAGGGTCAATCACTCAGGAATCTCATAAGTACCGCGGAACGGCTGGCCTGTTCACGCGAGGATGCGTTTGACGGCTCTCAGCTGCGAAACAAAATCCTCGGGGAGGCCGTCGCCGTCGCCGCGCTAGGGGCAGAAGTGGTTACCGGTTATGCGATACTGTGCAGGCGTGTGCATACTCGACATCTGCGTCGATCTCGCGTTACCCGCGCATTCCGTTTAGCTAAGCACCGCCGCCGCCGCCGTCGCCGATTTTTCAATCTGGAATAGATGTGCGTTCCACGCTCCCCGCGTTTGAAGCCGATAATTAACGGGCGGGAGGAATGGAGCCAGCCAATTACCGGTCGCGGAGCGCTTCGAAACTCGAAATAGTCCATTAAACTTCGATTAAGCGCGGTTCCCTCGGCATTTTTCAACCCTTGACAGACTTTAGATTAATTCACCCTGAGCACACGAGTGTTTAGAGCCGCTTGATAGACAGAACTTATTAAGTCGTCGCGCGTTTTGGAATTTCGCGTCGATCTTTCGGGTTTGGAACTTGGATTTTATATTTTTAAATTTTACAGTTTTGGATTTTATACGCTGAATTATGTATTTTTTGATTTTATTTGTTGAATTTTACGTTCGTAGACTTCGCTTTTAGATTGTGTACGTTAAATTTTATACGTTTAGATTGTACTCTTCGAATTTTACAGATTTTGATTTTATACGTTGAATTATAGATTTTCTCGATTGTACTTTTTGGATTTTACGTTCGTAGGTTTTATATTTTAGATGGTAGAAGTTAGACTTTATATTTTTAGATTTTACTTGTTGAATTTTATGTTTGTAGATTTTATATGTTGGATTTCACGTTCAAAATTTTACCTTTTCAATTTCACACGTCGAATTTTATATTTTGAGGAAATTTCCTAGCATTTAATCGAGTTATTATTGACAATTATGAGAAGCATCAAAGTGATCGGGAAGAATTAGTGGATGAGCCCCCGAGCGCAATATCCCCGATAGCTACGACCCATTTGACAAGCGACAGTGCTTTGAACCGACCGTGAAAGCACCTGTAATTAGCAAGGTGATAACCATTCCTGATTAGCAGAATCTTCCGTAATTGTCTTTGTAGTAGAGGCGTGACGGCAGGCCGGGTTCATTGGCAAAGCGCGACAGCATTACCGGGGAAAATTTATTTAACGGTAGCACACTCGCTCACTCCCTCGGCTCTCAAGTCGAAGATCTTAAGGTAATTTAATCTCTGGATGACGGATAGCATTTTGAGTGATAATAGGATTTCCCTTGTGCACGGGTTTCAAGATGGAATTATGTAATACATTAAATCTTATACATATTTACAGCAACTGCATATAATGACGTTAGCAGTATAAATTAGTAAACGAGGAAATGTATAAGAACAGGTTATTATAAATTAGTAAACGAGGAAATATATAAGAAAACATTATCATAAATTATTAAACAGGGAAATATATAAATGCGCTCAACGGTTACTCCTGGCGAATCAAAATGGCGTCGCATTAGTCAAATAACATAACCCCGTTTAATCGTATATTTCGTTGATAAGACTATGTTTCATTGACTTAATCATCGCGACCAATATTGCTCTAACTTTGTTCCTCACGTTTCTGTCCCCAGAGAGATGTCACTAAATCAACGACCGAATTCATCGACAAAGAGCAGGTGACTAGTATGGTAGCGCGGGATGTCGTCGACGACGCCCGGTTCGACAAGTTTGCCAGCTCGGTACCAAGATCCCCAGTCGATTCTCCGCGGAAAACCTCGCCAGAGAGGCCAGGATATCCACGTGGAATCCCTGGGCTTAGGGAGGACGATCGACCGAAACCGATCCCGGCCGCTGGGAAACCAAGTCGACCTCCTCAACGCGAAGACAGTCCCAAAAGGTAGCGTGTACTTTGCTACTAAAGTCTTGAAGATGTATGCGTGTAGCCATTAGGCTGCGGAACTCTGTGGAAACTCCACTTCGTGTAAAATTAGTAATTTTAAGTGGCAATGATATTAGATAACACTAAATAATAATAATAATAATATTAAAGAATATGAAATAATAGGGGTATTGAATAATATTAAATAATACTAAATAATAATAGTATTAAAGAATATGAAATAATAGTGGTCTTAAATAATATTAAATAACACTAAATAATAATAGTATTAAATAATAGTTAATGATAATAATATTGATCAGTATTAAGTAAACAATTATAGCTTTCCATAGATCATTTTATAGCAATGAAACTAAAGGAAACCCTATGTCGTTTACAGAGCTTGTGAAAAAGATAACGTGACGACGTAATTATTTTGACATTAATATGTCATTACGAACGCTATTAACGCATTAAAGGTCCGCAGTTTAGTAATATCATTATTTCGTCATTAATATGTTGTTATGGACGTCGCGAAGATCCGTAGTATAGTTATCACAACATCTATCCCGTTTAACTGTAACTTAAACGTTTAGAGATTCGAGGAAAGAGTTAGAGGTCGAGGATTAACTTATTCGCTAACCACCGTGCATAACTGTACGAAGACTATGCAACGGTAACGAAGGGGTGGCAGGGTGGCACGTAGAAACTGACTATGCTTCGCATGCAAATATCGGAACTTCGGTGTGATTTTAATTAAAGGCGTGGCGCGCAAGGGAGTTTGAAATATTCTCTGACAATGAGTTCGGTGTGTACAGCCGAGTTTTATGTTTCGAACGAGGTTACGGGCTCCGCCGTCGCCGTACCCGTCAGACTTGATTATAAAGCTTGCCGTTGTGTATTCAACCTCGGGATTCCTTTCTCTCTTAACAGATTGCAGTTAAACGGGCCATTCCTCGTTTTGCGTGGGAGAAGCACTTGCCCTATGCGTCGAACGTTTTACACAACAAATAGCATTGCAGACCTTCATACAAAACAAAATTCACAGCATGCAACTCACCAAGATGTTGCATTAAGACAGTTGCATCGTGTTCTTAACACGTTGCATAGGGGCTATTTTGATTGAATCTATTTGCATCAATTGCATTCAGCTCGTTTCATTATTCAATACGTCTTCGAGAGCTGTCATTCATTATTTGATAAATATATTTGTAAATGATTAAATCGAAAGTAAGACCTAAATAAAATTCGATTCATGCAACGAATCGCCATGAAAATTCATTTCCGAGTCTGGTGAAAGAGTTGCATCGCTTAAATTCGGGTGACACGGCAGTCAAAGTGTTGATGCATCTTCGAGAACGATGAAATAGAAGCAGAATTTCATTGTAGATTCTAAATAGTGTATTTTTTCGCAGAACCCCCGTGGGCAGATCGCAGTCGCCGGATAAGCCTCGCGATTTCGTCTCGCCCGCGGGGAAACCGTTACCAGCGGCGGGAAAACCGAGTCGGCCCGAGGAACGGCCGACACCTGGGAAACCATCTCGACCGGAGGAAACGGCCGGGAAACCCTCACGTCCCGGCGATAAACCGAAAAGGGGTGATCAGACACCCGACTCCCTCGACGAGGACGACGTTCAGCCGGAGAAGCTGCCAGATATTCTGTCGAAGATCCCTTTGAAGGAGCAATGCATCTGCGAGCTCTGCACCTGCGGGTGAGTTATGCATTTTCTGCTTCTTTCACTTTCTTTCTTTTTTCTTTATTTCTTTTCCTTTTCAATTCATAAATTATGATGGTAACCGATCGATGAGATTAACAAATTTTTATCGTTATTATCGATCTATATAATCCTCCAACTATAGGTTAAATGTATGTTCAGACTACACGACTAGGAGAATGATGAAATTATTGACTTTCTGTGATATTGATTTCATAGATTTGATGTATCATTTAGAGTCATAATTATCCATGCACTCAATAATTAGGATTCTCTAATTATATCTCAGGACATAATACGATCAAATTTTGCAAGCTTCCTCCGTAGAGTTTCTACTCTTCATTTATGTTAGCTGTTAATCGACACATTATATCGGATAATCGACCTACCGCTGTACCGTTAACTGCTTTTTGCATAATTCTAAACGTGCCTTTTACAAGCCTCTTGCGTCTTTGTTCCCGCAAGTAGCAGCTCCACGAGGATCGTATAAAAATTTACGAACCGCGGAGGGTCGAGCCCTGCAGCCGCGATATTAAACAAGCCGCGTGTTCGCCGCGCGTCGTAAATTATGTAGTTAAGTGAATGAAACCGTGCGGTTGAACGTCGTCGGTGTTACGTTAGTACATACGGATTTAGGCGATATTTATGCCAGTACTACGTATTCTTTTTTTACTTAGATTGGCAGGATTCGAACAAGAATTTAACTCTCTTGGGGGTGTACCGCATCCCCATTTGTTGGGTAAAAAGATGTTCGAGGTGAAAGTTCTTTGGCGTCAAGAGTTGAAATTATGGTTGACGAAAACACGGTTGTTTTGGTTGATTCCGAGTAACTTTCGTTTGAAACATTTCTTTTATGCGATGTATGGTTTACAAGTAAATTCAGATATCTGAATGGTTCGCTTGTAAACTATTTATCATATAAAAAGAATGGTATATACACAGGAAAAGATGGTAGTGAACGTTTTTATCAAAGCAAATGCCGTCCATTGCACCAGAGTTGGCATGCGGAATGGAATAGGGACAAGAGGGATTACTTGCTATGTGCTTCGTTTATAGTTTTAATTGATTACCTCTAATCGTATTGACGAATAGCAAATTAATATTGAAAATAAGACGAGAAAAGATGAAAACTATTAGTCGACCTAAGGTCTCGAAAGAACTAAGAGCGATGCGTCTACCGGCAATTAAGGAATTTCCCTTTCGGGAACGTTCACGTTTCAACAGTCGATAAACGGCGAACGTCGCGTCGCTGCGGCTAAATTGAAGTACGAGGTGAACGTTAACGACGATAATTAGATAGAGTTCGAGCGGTCGATGAAAAAACAGCTTCCGATCCGGCCGAATTCGGCCCGGGACATTAATTTGCATCTGTTCCTACGCGGCGTTGTGTATTCTAATCTCGTTAGCTCTGTTTCGAAGTGGGTCGCGTCACGGTGCTCTGCTGAGACGAACGTACCACTACGGGATAAGGTAAATTAATTCGCGCGTTTCAGAACCTCTACGGAACACGCCTCGTCCTTCAAAACGAATTACCGTTCCCCGTGCTCCTCCCGCGAATTTTCCGAGGAAAGAAGTGGAATGAAATGACACACCATTGTTGAGGCGGAAAATAACGTCTTTGGAGCGATCGGTGTGGGGAGAAAACGGGCTTTCTTATTTGCTAATATCCACATGGAGTATTTATGAAATTGTTATTAGTGTTTATAGTAGTGTTTTATTAACAATAACAATGCTCGCTTATTGTTGGAATAATTATTCAATTTTTATTAGTATTTACAGCAATACTTTACTAGTAATAGAGTAATATTCGCGTAGAATATTTGTTACATTTTTATCAGTATTTATAGTAATATTTTATTAGTGATAGTAATATTCGCTTAGAATACTTATTAAATTCTATTACTCTTTGTAGAAAGAAATTTATTACTTGAAAAATTAAAGATGGAACATATTTTGGAATTATATTGTGTATCTCAAGCACAAACAGGTATTGTAGAAAATAATATTCATTTTCTAAATTATAGATTGTGTAATTTTGAATCGGGAATTTCTCAGATACACCATACGAACCGTTAAAAGGAGAAAGATCGTTGATCCATTAGCAGTCGTCTATATTTACGAGCGCACGCGATTAAATTCCGCTCTTGGAGTTTGTCTATTAATAGGACCATTTTCAACGAGGTAAAAGAAGGATTAAAAAATGGGAGGTTGTAATTCATGGAGAACGTGATCGGAATTATTAATCGTACAGCCGGTTGAGTATCGTGATTGCAGCCGCGGTTTTTCGTTGCGGCGGGCTTTCGTCATCGTGACCATGCATACGTCGGCTTTTTTCGAGGCTCTCGAACATCGCAATTCGATCTGATACCGTGACTGGTATATTTTATAGTGAATAGAATTCGATGCGCAGATATTTCCATTCGGAAGCTTGAATAATTGGTACATTTTACAATTCCTTTTTTCCCGATAACCAGACCTTTAGTGTAGTACTTTATAACTTTTATTTTCTTTCGAAAACTAGATCTCCAATCTCTACTTTGTAATTTTTATTTTTTCTCGAGAATTAGATCTCGTATTTTTACTTTATAATTTTCATTTTCCAAGAGGCGCTCCAATTAACCAACTAAAGTATAGTTTCAATAAAAATGGTTGAAATAACGCAAGAAAGAAAGGATCTCTCTAGCCAAACTTTTCGTCAAAGACGAAGAATTTAGAAAAAATGAAGTGTAAAACATGTTTCTTAGAGATGATAATTTTTATTGATTAGTGTCAGTTTTTTGGTGCGATGTAAGGTGTTATTGAGGAGACAGTAAAACACAATTCACACCTACGTTTTACGTTCGCGGAAAGGTCAAAATCTGATATTTATTCGTATCTTTATACAGCGCGCTTGTACGATGTCTTTTTGGAGTCACGCGTCGGCGGTACGATGCTCCAGTTAATAGTGGAAGCTCTAGATGCCGTTTTTCTACTGTTCCAATCAAAAGTCGGATGTCGCTCGTCTACTGTTGTATGCCGCGCGCCGAAAATGCTCCAAAAATGCTTAAATGCCGTCCGCCGCATTCCTCTGTTTAACCGGGGTTATATACCCGGTTCAAGACAGAGAACCGCGGACGGACAAATCAATTAAAAACGTGGTGACGAAGTCGCTACAGTTTCATGAAATATGAAAGCTGCAATTTATAATGCGATTAGGTCCACAAACAAGAGAATAAGAGGTCGTCGAAAATCACGGATCACCGCGATTGACGGCGTTAACTATCTCGACACCGCAACAGACTGCTTATTTTTCGCTTTCTGGAACTTGTTGAACCCAGTGGCTCGTCACCTGGTTCCGCTCGCTAGTTTACAAACAATCCTTGATATCTTATGCATGCGTCCGCTGATTACTCCGCAGACACGGTCTCTCGTGGTGTTCGTCCCACTCCCTCGATAAGAACGTCACCTGTTGGTTCCGCGACCCGACAACTTACAAGACGCCTGTTTAGATAAGCATTTCCTGGATGGGGAAACAGCGAACGGGACACAGAGGAATTGTTGTTGCTCGGAAGCTCGACCTTTATACCGCTTGCTCTGGGGATGCAGAGTCTTTAAAGTGATTGTACCGCTCGTATTCGCGCAACGATAAATCATGATTCTCACGGCGAGAATTATCGAATCCGTAATTTCAACTGTCATTCCTTTCCTCGTCGATGAAGTGGAAAGCAACGATCACGGTTAAAACAGCAGGGACCTTTAGCTTCTAATTACAATTTACAATTGATATTATCTTCTGTCCCCATTATATTGCAAGACGTCTTCTAAACGGAATTTGGGGATTTCCTAAACTTCAAATTTAGATATCATCGACAGTAATAAACAAAAATACAAGTAACTAGGAAAAAATATTTGTTAAACGTTATAACAATCATGATGATTATAACAATAACCTAAGCAATAATATCAATAACAATAACAATAACGACAACAATAATAGCAGTAATATCAACAGTAACATCATTAACAACGACAACAACAAAAATTCGGTACTCCACACGAATACCAAGTTCCATAACAAGCATTACCTAACAATACCAATCTATCAAACTCAATGCTTGAAATATATATATATATCCAAACATCAATAGAAACAGGAAGATTAAATATCTGCATCTGTTAGATTCATAACCACAAGGAGATAACGCGTGAGATTGAGTAATCAACCTTTTATAGTCACGATTCCGAGAGCGCATTATTCACGGTTTAACACTCGCATCTTTCAAGCCCGTAATTACTCGAGGTTGCCGTGAAGTTGTTCCGCGCTGCTCTATCCTTGAGGCGCGTTCTTCCAGTGCTTCGAAGCGTCCCGTATGCATATGAAGGGAACTGTGTGTGCACACGTCGCTCGCCGAGAGAAACTAGGACGCGAGACAAGCCCTTTTACGGGAGGTTGTTGCCAGCCAATCGCGATCGGCTGCTCGCTCTTCTTCCTTATTCGAGCCGCCTCGTCTTCCCAAGGCAAGGTGATCGTGATTCAAATTTAAGGTGATCCGCTCCCGACGACGACGATCCGTCTCGCCCGTGGACGCGCGAAGGATAAAAGCCAATTGTTCGGCCAAAAATCAAGGATGCCGGCTTGGCGGTGATAAACCAATCACGGTTCGCCTTCTTTGGATGTTCTCGACGGCGACCGTGTCTCGCCGAGGACCCTATTTTTCGCGCGAGGACGGACATTTGCAAATTGGGTCAGGATTAAACTGATCTCCGTGGCAAATAGACTGCAGAAGTTTCTGCGTTCGTGTTGAATTCCAGAGAGAATGGCAGCGAAGGTGTTGTTAATAATGATGTTGTTAATGTACATATAAGTTTCTATATTTACGTCAAGTTTTGAGAGTAAAATTAGTACTGAAACCTTTATTCGTCTAAAGTATTGTGAAGCGTATACAGACTACTGAACAGACAATTCTGTCTTGACTTTTATTAAACTTTGCAGTTTACCATTCGAAATTTCAGTTTAC